GATCCTATGTGGACCTGCTGAAGCTGGAGGACGTCCTGCGGCAGCATCCGTTCTACTACAAGGCTGCTCGAACCGCCATCCAGATCTACCTGGCCCTGCACGACAAACCTCTGACTGACGACAACAAGGAGAGCCAGGCAGACACTGGTTAGTGTTTGTTTGTGTGGGTCCTTTTGAGATGGTCCCAAGATGTTTAGACGGTTATTGGTTGTCAAGGGGATTTACACCCACAATGTATGTGACATTTTTCCAGTTTGATGTTTGGGAACTGCAAATATTCCACCACTAGGTTAGACTGACCCTTTATTTGCTTCTGTTCATTGTTTGTTAGGTAAAACCTGATTATGGCTATATTCAGCTGCAAATACCATAATTCCCTCTTAAGAATTGTTAGGTATGTGTGTTGTACAAAATGTAGAATATCCTGTTGGAAACTTTTGCAGAAGCCAAGGACCCATTTCAGGAAAAACATTTTCCGTAGCAATGAACAGAATTCTGAAGTAATCCCAGTGGAAATGCTGTAGACAGTCCTATCTACAGGAGAGGAAAATGAAAATAAATTCTACTTGATTTGAACTTTTACTTGTGAGCTGGGTGTAAATTATGTTAGTTAAAATTAAAGTTAGTTCGCTGGAGACCCCTGCTTCCCACTTTAGTTCTGTGGTTCCATAGTTCCTCAACAGTTTAGTCAAAAAGTAGCTAACCGTTTGTAAAACAATAGCAGGTTGGTGACAGTACCATCTTAAAAAGAAAAGACATAAAAATGACTGTTTTGCTGTTGGTCTCTGCAGAGAATCTGACAGACAAGGAGTTGAAGAAACTGCGCAACAAACAGCGAAGAGCCCAGAAGAAGGCACAGCTAGAGGAGGAGAAGAAGAACGCAGAGAAGGAGAAACTGCTAAAGAACCAGAAGAAGAAGAAGGAGGATGATGATGAGGAGATAGGAGGGCCTAAAGAGGAGCTAATACCAGACAAACTGGCCAAGGTGGGCTCATACTTCTTTCAGTGTGAGGGGGGTTGTTGGTAGAATCATTACAGTACATTAACGTGACACAATCTTTTACCAGCCGGAGACTCCTCTGGAGGAGGCGGTGAAGTTCCTGATCCCCCTCAAGAACCTGGTGCGCAATAAGATCGAGACTCACCTTCTGGCCTTCGAGATCTACTTCAGAAAAGGTCAGATCAGATGCTAGCAGGGCGCATTAGACCACGTTTCACACACTCATTTCTGTAGCCCCAACAGTTTGTCTTCATTCCTCCAGAGAAGTACCTGCTGATGCTGCAGTCAGTAAAAAGAGCGGTGGCCATAGAGCCTTCCAACCCGTGGCTGCACCAGTGTCTAGTGCGCTTCTTCAAAGGAGGTGAGCTTAACACATACACACACACACACTCTCACTCACACACACTCAGTGACGTCTGCTGCAGAAGGGCAGGTGCTCGACATCGGAAACCTGCGTGTGGTCTAAGTTTGAAACCACAATTTTTTTTAATTCTTTTATTTTGGGACAGCATTTTATATTACAAAACCGAAGTCAGGGCAATGGTAGTTTCATTTATCTGCCGTCTACACACTTTTTAAAAATTTTAAATAAAAGAAGCAGCAAACTTTTTTTGCGCGAGAGGTAAATTGTGCACATAAGGGCAAAGAAAAGCATGTCAGAGACTTGACAGGAAACTATAAGAATCAGTGAGGCCGCTATATCCCCGACTTTTGGCGTAAAGACACAATTAACCAGCGTTATTCATTCCTAAAATATATTAATTAGTTTAACAGTATTTCTCTAGCAAGATTACTGGTCTACTAATCATGTACATCCATAATATGAAACCACACACTGTCCATCCAACTCAGACTCACTAAGGATAGATCTTTCTCAATAGGTTGCCTCAGTTTGAGCTAAAGGTGTGTGTGTGTCTGTGTGT